TGGCAGGCAGTGGTGGGCAGGCAGGCAGTGGTGGGCAGGCAGGGGGATGGCTACTCTCCGTCAATTTTAAGATAAGGAGAGTTGACTCTCCCAGGTCGACATCGCTTCTTGTCTCCCACAAGTCAAGGGCCACTTTACACACACTCTGTTTGTTCAGCTGTCACTGCGTCTCCAAGCTTCCATGGCTAGCATAATATATATATATATATATATATATATATATATATATATATATATATATATATATATATATATATATATATATATATATATATATATGTCGTACCTAGTAGCCAGAACTCACTTCTCAGCCTACTATTCAAGGCCCGATTTGCCTAATAAGCCAAGTTTTCCTGAATTAATATATTTACTATAATTTTTTTCTTATGAAATGATAAAGCAACCCTTTTCTCTATGTATGAGGCCAATTTTTTTTTATTGGAGTTAAAATTAACGTAGATATATGACCGAACCTAACCAACCCTACCTAACCTAACCTAACCTATATTTATAGGTAAGGTTAGGTTAGGTAGCCAAAAAAAGCTAGGTTAGGTTAGGTTAGGTAGGTTAGGTAGACGAAAAAACATTAATTCATGAAAACTTGGCTTATTAGGCAAATCGGGCCTTGAATAGTAGGCTGAGAAGTGCGTTCTGGCTATTAGGTACGACATATATATATATATATATATATATATATATATATATAATAATTCTACTGGGAAGCTATATATGAAAACAAAAACATTTTGATCTTTTTTGTTCATATATAATCGTCTCTCTCTCCTACTTTTCCTCCTCTTCATCTGCCTCCTCCTCCTTCTCCTCCTCCGCTGTTAAAGGGTACATAGAAAGAGAACAAAGAACCCATGTAATAAGGTCTGGAGAGACTTCCTGAAATTGGCTGTGTGATGGGAGCCACGTGACTCACCCGTGGTGTTACCCGAGATGCTGGCACCTCTCTCTCTCTCTCTCTCTCTCTCTCTCTCTCTCTCTCTCTCTCTCTCTCTCTCTCTGGAAGGGCGTGCTTGACTTGGCATTTCCCTGCCTGACGCTCACCTTGAGAGAGGATACAAATGCTTCTATATACTTTGTTTTCGTTTCCTACTTCTGTTTTCTTTCCACTTCGCCTTGTAGATAGTTATACTCTCCCAGTCCACACGCATATCCTAGCTCCTAGGCCACGCCCATATCCCAGCTCCTAGGCCACGCCCATATCCCAACTCCTAGGCCACGCCCATATCCCAACTCCCGGGCCCCGCCCATATCCCAGCTCCTAGGCCGTTCTCGTGTCCGTTTATCCTTTTCAATTACGATGGTGACGTATTTAGGTTTTCTTCTTTGTGAAGTCCTTACCTCAGCTCCATCACATTTCTCAGCTCCAGGTCCTAGCACGCGACTCTCAGCACCGGGACCAATCAGTTCAGCTGCCAGTACTATCTGAGTATCATAGTGCAGTTGGCTTCGTTCCCGACTCACAATAGACGATCCCGGGCTCGATTCCCGGGCAGGGCAGAAATGGTTAGGCACGTTTCTTTTCAGCTAATGCAGCTGTTCATCTAGCGGAAAATAGGTACTCCTGGAGTTAGGCAACCGTTGTAGGGGGGTTGACCTTCTGGGGGAGGGACAGTAGTTTGACCTTGTAGGTGACCTTGATATAAGGTCGAGGTCGACCTTATATCGACCTGTGAGACTCCATACTCACAGGATGAGTATGATGGGATTTACCACCACTGAGAGGACGAGTATGGACCGGATCTACCAGCACTCACAGGATGAGTACTGGGTCTACCACCACTCACAGGATGAGTACTGGGTCTACCACCACTCACAGGATGAGTACTGGGTCTACCACCACTCACAGGATGAGTACTGGGTCTACCACCACTCACAGGATGAGTACTGGGTCTACCACCACTCACAGAATGGGTATAGGGTGGACAATAAATGAAAATCTTAACTAACTTCTGTAACTACATCTTACAAGTCTTCCTCCCGGTTTGCTCGCCCATGAAGACACCTCTATCCTGTCTTCCCATATCTTGGTGCATGGGAAGGAAGAGCCCACGAGCTGCCGCCCGACCCCCGCAGACTCAAATCTACAAGTGTAAGTCGGAAAATACTTTACACACATCATCAGTCACGGCCCAAATCTTCCTGAGACCGTCGTAATCTCGTGAGACAGGCCAATTACAGGTACCATTTGGCCCTCTCTGGGGACGAGAAGGGACTTAAGGTCCGGCAGTCTGAAGGTTGAAAGTCTGCGGTTATCGATTGGAAATCAAGCCCAAGCGACGCGAGTGTTAGCGATGACTGATCGTCACTTTGGATTGGTGTGAGGATATAAGGAATGGACAGGGAAGGACAAAATGCTACACTATAAGTATAAGGAAGAGGGCAGGACGGAATGTTCCACTATAGTATAAGGAAGAGGTCAGGACGGAATGTTCCACTATAGGTATAAGGTAGAGGGCAGGACGGAATGTTCCACTATAGTATAAGGTAGAGGACAGGACGGAATGCTCCAGTATAGTATAAGAATGAGGGCAGGACGGAATGCTCCAGTATAGTATAAGAATGAGGGCAGGACGAAATGCTCCACTTTAGTATAAGGTAGAGGACAGGACGGAATGCTCCACTAACATACAACATGGAACATCGGTATCCATAAGCTGGATAATTTTAGATTCAGAAAATACCTCGTTAATTATTTGTCTCGAAACACAGAGTGGTTGATTTATGGAACACGTTGGTAGGTAACGTAAAAGACGTCGGGGCATTGGTTTGTTTCAAGCACCACTCTTGACGATGGCAAGCACCACTCTTGAAGATGGCAAGGCCCACTCTTGAAGATGGCAAGCACCACTATTACACTCTTGACCGATGGCAAGGCAATCTTCATGAGCGCATTGCATGTACATTATTTTAAAGTATACATAGTTATACATAATTATACATAGTCCCATGGTTCTGATTGCTGTTTGAAGTCGCTTTGATCTTATTAAGTCGTTGTAACTAAAGTCGTTACGACTTGATTAGGGTCCAACATGGACAGAAACGTCGTCGCTTTTATTTTATTTCATACATGTGGGTCGATTAATTGTTTCAGTCTTGTTATTGTGACTTATTCTTTGTATGTAATACTTATTTTTTTCTTTTTTGATTATAATGAACAATTTTTTTTATATACTTCATTTTCTTCCTCTTTATCATCATGTTGTTCTACATGTTTTTATTCAATGACTTGTTTCCTCAAATCTGAATGTCAATAACAGATCTGATTACTGGCAAGTTTATCAGTAAGTCCCAATCAGTCAGCTCCCAACCTGAATGCTCCTCTATGCTCCAACCTGACTGGTTGGGATCAGAGTCATTGTAGTTTTGAAATTATTTGGGGGGACTTTTAGAGGCATTGTAACAGAGCTCTGCTGTGAGTGATCTGAGGGACAACCTCTGTGAGATGCAGATTATATACAAGGTCCTCACACACCCGGACGTAGGTTCGAACCCTCATCACGGCCCTTGTGGATTTGTTTATATTCAAGGTTGTTTATTTCGAAACATGTTCCGTCGAAATGTGTGGTTTTTCTCGCAGGGGCAGGGGGGGGGGGGGGGGTGTTGTATTGTGGTTTAGGGATACTGTATCTATATATTCTTTTTTATGCACTGTGACCTCAAAAATCTGGACCTCAATATATATATATATATATATATATATATATATATATATATATATATATATATATATATATATATATATATATATATATATATATATATATAATGCAAAATACTCAAAAATCTGAATATTTGAACCTGCGGAGGGAATCGTAAACCTGTCCGTCCAGATTTTTTTTTTTTTAGTTTGCATTGCAGTATATTTATGTGAATAAATATGGTTACAAAAGTGAACACTCATACGTATTCAGAGTTAGATGGCAATATTATCTCTGAATGCTCTGTATTCCCTTCTTCGAGGCTATGGGTCCCTGCAATTGCACCAGAGGTGGTACCCCTCTTTACATATATATATATATATATATATATATATATATATATATATATATATATATATATATATATATATATATATATATATATATATATATATACTAATCTAAATATATTGCTCAGAACCTTCCATATAGTCCAGAGGATAAGCAAACACATTGATGTATTATTCAAGAATAGATCCATTCTTGTCTAATAATAAAAACATAATTGGACACATCCAACATTTAGTGATGACTTTATACAAATTGTAAAAAAAACTATACTTAACATATAAGCAATATTTTAAATCGCCCCTATAGAAAAGAGAGTAGAACAGCGGGTGAAGATGAAGACAAGAGATACTGGCAGTGATTGGTACAACGATACCGTGGCTTATGATAATTAAGCACAAAAATCCCAACTGTATACACTTTGTACAATTACTAGATACACCATTTTCACACCTCCATGTCTTTGCACTGCCTCGCGGGCTATGCCTGTAGGTCCTTCCCAGCCCCAGAACACGCGAGTCGGGATAAGTTTTTTCACAGATGCTGCTAGCTACATCAACAAAACACGAGAGTTCACTACGGAGGGTCCTTGAGCGGTCGGTCATCAACGCCATATCGTCATCCGGTGAGTCCGAGGACTCGGGGTCCATAGAGTGATCAGGCCTCGCAGGGGTCATCGTACTGTCAATCCTTCGGGGTCCAGTGCAGAGCCTTAGACGTCGTCGCCGGGGTTTGTAACATCCATCAGCAGCAGTTGTCATGCCTATTCCACACGCCTCCGGTCTCCCCGGTGCGCCACATCCACTGCTCGGGTCACACCAACACATCCAAGACGCCTGGATGAAGCCTCGGCTGGGAAGTTGTAAGCCAACAGGTGCAAGGGTCCACCTTGGGGAATCGGCCCAGCATGAAAAAGACACAATTGCTGCTGGAATTGGTTCAGTTGAGCTATTTGAAGCAGACGGGGCCCGCCTCAAAGCCAAATGCCTGGTTGGGAAGTCCGTAGTCTGTGGGCTGGAAGTCGACGAGGGGAAGATGGGCCAGTTTCTTGGACCGGACCTCAAATACTGTTCGCGTTTTCCCTGGTACGCCACTTTTCGTCTGCGGAATAGAATTGAATTGCTTTTAAACCACGGGAAAACATCAGGTATAAGGAAAGTCTAAAAAAAAAGAAAGACTCGATCAATACAACAGAAGAAGGATCAGAAGCTACTCACAGCGCATCCGTCAGTAAGAACGTTGGGTTTGATCGTGTCGATGGAAAATATCTGCTCGTCCTCTCCCATGAGTTTGATGGCCTTGTTGTGGTTGAGATTGTCTTCGTCAAACCAGGCCTTGGACTGGACGCAGGTGTAGGTGAAGTTCTGATAGGCATAAGATGAGAGCAGCCTCAAGAACGTCATCTGGACGACACCCGTCGACTCGTATGTGATCTGCGAGACACAGGATACATGAGGATAATGCAGCAGGGAGGATGCTCCTTATGCAAGTGCTATTTACCAAACCTCTACTGTACTGTATTGTACTGTAAACTGTATGGTAATCCCATTGAAAAGTTGGATTACATTAAGTGCATGTATCAGCCAATGTTATGTTTATTGTGTTTTGTTTTCGTTCACTATTGTGATTTATTTTGTGGATTAGATCCAATCAAAGGCTCTAAACTTTAGTGTAAAGTATCATTATTTGATCTAGAGGAATAGGCAATGGATTGCGGATAGATCCATGGAAGATGAGCTGACGAAGCCCTAACACTTAATATGTCCTGGCTAGAACACACATACACACACACACACACACACACATACACACGCGCACACACACACACACACACACACACACACACACACACACACACACACACACACACACACACACACACACACACACACACACACACACACACACACAAGGAAATCAAAGCTGAATTTTTGCCTATAGAGAGGGAGGGGGGGGAACTAACCAACGCATCGGCAGGTTACTATGCCTATGTAAAGCCAAGAGAGCCAAGATAAACGTTCACTGACTGAGAAAATATGCAACAGCAGAGGAACACCGAATAATTAGGCCACTAATGCTGGTATTTATAAATGAGTTAACACCGAGAATCTTAATGAGACGCCAAGTTAAACTGTGGAATATAGAATGCTTACATAAAGGCATGCCATAAAAAAACAGAATATATATATATATATATATATATATATATATATATATATATATATATATATATATATATATATATATATATATATATATAAAGGAAGACAGAGCAGCAAAGGTCACAGCAAGAACAGCTAGTAAGGCAGACAATTACAATCAGAAACCACAGATGACACAGAGTCACCTGTGGAGTCATCTGCTAGTCTAGTGGGAGCTAGGGTATATCGGTGGGCCTGGGCCCCACCGACATATCCTAGCCCCCACCCCCATTATAAATATAACAACACCTTATCCACTCCCACATCCAGAAAAAAATCAAAGGACTACAGCATCTCCCTTACCTTAAATCCTCCTCTGAGGTCTGAGAACCAGGCGTCCTCTCGGGCAACCCTCCAGGGAATGTTGATGATCTTGGAGGAATGAACATCAGGGAAGACGCACGTCTCTCCAGATACAGTCATGTTACAGAAGACGTACACAGCATCGTCGGGCATGCCAAGATTCGGATCAATCCAGTACCAGCCATCTGAGGGGGTGTAGAGAGACTGTGAGAGCGAGTGTCTATTGAGAAGACAATGAGAGGGAGTGTCTATTGAGGAGACAGTGAGGAGGAGGAAGGAGAGTGAGAGTCTGGTGAGGAAAGAGTGAGAGATGAAGGGATCGTGTGAGCTTTGCAGGATGACACACACTAATAGTGACAACTGTATGGGGGAGCAGAATAAAAAATAGGGATAGATCAGGCTTAGTTCCTGATGTGCAGAGAGGGGTGGCACGAGTACAGGAAGGGTGACAGCAGTACAAGAAGGGTGAAATGAGTAAGGGAAAGGGTGCAGGAAGGGTGGTAGGGAGCACATTAAGGGTAGCAGGGAGCACAGGAAGGGTGACAAGGAGCACAGGAAGTGTAGCAGGGAGCACAGCAAGGGTGACAAGGGGTACAGGAAGGGTGGAATGAGTGCAGGAATGGTTGAAAGCGTACAAGAAGAGTGACAGGTGACAAGAATTCAGCCATCATGAAGGGACTAAAGTAATAGAAAGATAGGAGCAGTGAACTAGGTTCTTAAGATCACGTGCCATAAAATAAACACATTCTTAAGTTACATATCTCATCATAACTAGAGGATAATCCATGACAAGTGATGGAACATCATCAAAACATTCTGATGAGCTTTCATTTCCATCCTTTATCACATAAATATTCTTAAGAGAAGAGGGAAGAGGGAACAAGATAGGGGAGAGAGAAAGAGAGAGAGAGAGAGAGAGAGAGAGAGAGAGAGAGAGAGAGAGAGAGAGAGAGAGAGAGAGAGAGAGAGAGAGAGAGAGAGAGAGAGAGAGAAAGAGGGATTAATAAGCTCTTTACAACCAGTAATATACAACAACCCTTAAGATTACACATGGAAATCACAGTACTATGATGTAGACTGTATACATACAGTACACCATTGGAGCAGGGCGGCAGGATCGAACCTGCGTCCATGGGTTAAAGGTACTCATCAGGGATTACCCATGATATTGGTTCAATCCATAATCCTGCTCCAGGGAGTTTCTTATCCTTAACGCCATAACAGTTGCCCAACTCCTAGGGCCCCTATTTACTGCTAGGGGTGAACAGAGACATTAGATGAAATGAAACCATTACAGTATTGGGCAGCGCCACTCGTCCTGTGAGTGGACACACCGCCATAGTGACAGTATTGGGCAGCGCCACTCATCCTGTGAGTGGACACACCGCCATAGTGACAGTATTGGGCAGCGCCACTCATCCTGTGAGTGGACACACCGCCATAGTGACAGTATTGGGCAGCGCCACTCATCCTGTGAGTGGACACACCGCCATAGCAGCATGTACAACACTCCCCAAAAAGGAAGAAAACCCGCTGGGTTGTTCATCCTGTTGTAAGGATAATGTTGTAATCTGTTGTAATCTTCACTACCTCACCCCAGTGCTATGTGGTCGTAATGGCTTGGCGCTTTCCCTTTGATAGTTCCCTCCCTAGTTCACTACCACACTATCTGTTCTGTATACTGTGTGGCCCAGGTGTGCTATACTGTGTGGCCCAGGTGTGCTATACTGTGTGGCCCAGGTGTGCTATACTGTGTGGCCCAGGCCTGCTATACTGTTAGATCCAAGCCTGCTATACTTTGTGGCCCAAGCCTGCTATACTGTGTGGCCCAGGCCTGCTATACTGTTAGGCCCAAGCCTGTTATACTGTGTGGCCCAAGCCTGCTATACTGTGTGGCCCAGGCCTGCTATACTGTTAGGCCCAAGCCTGCTATACTGTGTGGCCCAAGCCTGCTATACTGTGTGGTCCAAGCCTGCTATACTGTGTGGCCCAGGTGTGCTATACTGTGTGGCCCAGGTGTGCTATACTGTGTGGCCCAGGTGTGCTATACTGTGTGGCCCCAAGCCTGCTATACGGTGTGGCCCCAGGCCTGCTATACCTTCTGTACCTACTCCTCGTCCTCCATCTTCTATGCCTTCTCCTCTTCCCACCTCCTGCTCAGGTTTTCGCGTACTGACCCACCTTTAAACTTGGGGTGTCCGTAGTAGAGGTCCTTGCAGGTCCTGGCCGGGTTGTCCTTAGTGCCGATGGGCTTCTTCATCCGCTCCAGGTCCTGCCGCATGGTGTAGATGTTGGTGTACATGTCCATCAACTTCACGTCGAAGTCGTCGGGCGCTTCTCCTTTCTGCCGCTTCTTGTTGCCGAAGCCGTCGCCGCTGCTGCCGCCGCTGCCGCTGCCACCGCTGGCGCCACTGGCGCTGCTGACGCCGCCGCCATCGCTGCCGTCGATGTCATCGCTGCCATCCACACTGACGTCGCCGATGTTGTTGCCACTGCTGGTTGTTACACAGAGCTGTTAAATGTCTAAAGAATGATTTAGGTGATAAGATGGTAGTGATAAGGGGGGTGACAGAGAGAGACATGGACACAGAGAGACAGAGAGTGATAGGGAAGTGGCACAGGGAGACAGATGATTGATTGAGAGAGCATCATAAGGGCAGCATGTGGCTGTCAGAGGTCATATCAAAGCCAAAAAACAAGAAACACTTACCATAAAGGTATCGAACTATTTTGACAACCTTTAAAACATTGCCACTACACGAAAACGTCAAAAGGAAAGTAGTATTGTTGTGCTTTGGCTGAGACGATAGTGGTTAGGAAGAAACGACAGGAAACATTATATGTAGGAGGACCTCTGGTGAAGATCAGGCTGTGATGGGCACCTTTTCCCTCCCCCCCTCCCCTCCCACTTTCCTTTTTTCCCTTCCATCTTTTCCCTTTCCCTTCCTCCCTACCCCCCCTTCCTAATCCACCCAACCATACCAAACTCCTTCAAAATTTTTCCCTTTGATTTCACCTTCATTTTCATTCTTATAATTTGTGTGTGTGGCTGATTTCATGTATGAAACATGAGGTTATATTTCCATGATTCTGGGAATTTATAGCACAGAGTTGTGATTCTGGAAAAGCTTAATTGAGACTTGTGAATCTGGAAAAGATTAGTGTAGAGCTGTGATTCTGGAAATGGATGATGATGAATTTTCAATCTGGCATTTTGGAACTCTAAATTGAATATCTAAATAAGGAAAGGAAATAATTTCCTAAATAAGGAAATAATTTGTTATTAACAAATTCTCGTATATGGCATCATATGAGAGTAGAACTAAGTTCTAAATAAATATTTCTCTCAAAGAGCTAGATAATTCTTAATCCGTAAATTTTCCTTAAAAAAAAGGTCGATTTCCTCCCTTATTTTGCAGATTATATTGCTGAATCTGAATAGAATAATTCTCGTTACTCCATTTAGAGATAAAATTAAATAAAATGATGCCAGTGAGAAGTAATGAAATCACTGAGATGAATAAACTAACAAAAACAGCATCCCCCTGATGAATGAGATGAAAAGTAGCATACCCAAATGAATGGGATGAAAAGCAGCATCCCTAGATGAATGAGATGACAACCAGCATCCCCAGTTCATTTAGATAAAAAAAAATAGCATCCCCTGATGAATGAGATGAAACCAGCATCCCATGATGATGGAGATGAAAAGCAGCATCCCCCCAGCACCTATCCGCTCCCACTCCCCTCCTTTCTCCCCCACTCTTTCCCCCCTCCAAACCAAAAAAAAAAATCTATACACCGTTATGTGCGAATGTTTGTTTTTAGAGCACAGATTAAATTTTTGTCCCCAAAACTCCCCACATGCTGTCTTGGTCATCACACAAGTGAAGGGATCACCACTACCACACGGCAGTGATGCCAGGTATTAGTCTTGATGGTGGCGAAGAGGCGCCAGGTATATTCACCTCAAACACCTGTCACCAAGCACAGTAGGCGCCAGGTATATTCACCACAAACACCTGTCCCCAAGCACTGTTGTACTGGTTACCATGACTCAAAACTCAGGCATACACACACACACACACGCTTGGATAAGCTGTTGGATGTTGCAGCAGTTATACAGAAATGGCCAAGACTGTGACATAAGTATACTTGAGAAACTAAACCAATAAACTTTAATCATTTAGAGGAGTGCGGGGGGGGAGGAAACAGGAACTAATTAATGGTCAGTAATATAATCATTATAACCTAATAGCTATAATGTATGGTGATTGGTGATTGGCAACCGTGAACCCGCTAGTATAACCCAATGAAACTTAGACAGCATTTAACACGATTATGAGGTCATGTTTACAATCATTAACTTATATTATATTCAAATGATTAATGTTTATTGATCCATTTCCTCAGCTGCATACATGCCACAGACTTAGGTGGGCTGGGTGTCTAAATCTCACCCCCACGTTGTTGTGACTTGCGGTCTGCACACACTTATCCACTTGCGAGTGGAAGTGGAGGTAAGGCGGCCCTTAGTATAAGCTCCAGCAGGTTGAGGACACCAGCTATCTTAAACCCATCTCCATCGATGTATGATAAAGATGAGATTAAGGCCAGTATCGTAGTCAAGGACTTGGTCTAACTGTACTTACCTAAAGGGTTTTTTTCCTTAATAGCCCAACTTTAGCTTTTGGGTCACGTCTTTATAACTCTTGGATTTAACTTCAGGCAACGACTCTCGATTTCCTTTGTTTCTCGTAATCTCTAATTCCTTTCACCTAAGGAGCTGGCAAGACACTGAAGGGGTGTTTTATCACGCTCTCTGGTTCCCATCTTTATCTCTAGCTTCCAAGGGACGTCTTCTCTATATATTACTGTCAATCATAGATATCCTGTTCTCTCTTGCTCTCTCTCTCTTTCAGAGATAACTCAGAGTATTTGGAATGTCTGAAACATGTCACCTTTATTTCTCCTTCCAATGTCATTTGATTCGACTTCTACATTCTATTTCTGTAACATGGAATTAAACTAAGCAGTAGGGATAGACTATGGGAACTGAATCGAACGGCACTGTAACAAAGGAAATTTAGGGGGGACATGATTCAGATATACAAAATATATGAGGGTATCGTTTAAATATGGAGACAGAACATTTAGAAGGAGTAACGTAACTATCATTACCTTCTCTAGCTCATACCACTTGCTCACTGCCTCCTCCTCTGGCTCATACCACTTGTTCACTACCTCCTTCTCTAGCTCATACCACTTAATCTATATTTATTAAACAGTTTACGAGCTTGAAATCACTATAACCTTAAATTTTTAACGACGATCTCGTAAACGGGGTAATAATAAATAGAGACTTCGCTGCCATTGTCGTAGAGATACGGATCTCGTAAGTGTTTCGTGATTGCAAGATCCGACCGCACCTGAGGATTCGTACCTGCAATGCCGTCTCTCTCAACACCGAACACTGAGTCTTCGAAATGATTCTTAACTCGGGTCCTTATCAATAATTTTATTGTTTCATTTTAAATAGATAATGAAAGATTGACTTCCTAGTGACTTAAAAAAAAGGGGTAGTTTGAAAGTAGATCAAAGTATGTCGGAGAATGTATCATGAGGAGGCGATTGGTGTCTTACTAACCTGGGTTTTCTACCACCATCACCATCACCAGACTTTCGGGCAGTTTTACCGCGTCTTCTGTTGCCTCGCTTGTTGCGTCTGTAAGAGTCACGAGTGAGACACAACTGCTCCTTCGACTACGCTTAAAGAAATAACCATGATCGGCCCTGAGAAAGTCACAACAATTTGGAAACTGCAGGTGTAATCCATCAATTAAAAGGCAAAAGCTTATTATGTTCCGTAATGGTTACTGATGATGTTAATTATCTGAAGTAAACTTAAGTCAAAACAGTTTGATTGGAAATGAATCACTGGTTATGTTTTGGGGCTTGAATTTCCGCCTGACCAAGCCGGAAACTTCAGTGCATGCCTGAGATATCCTCTGTAGCTGGCCCTCTGAAGGTCAAAGATATCATTTTTAGTATTAAAAGCTTAAATTGTTGCATTATGCGATAATTGGCTTAGCATGTGTTGTGTTCTTCGCTTGACCAGCATTCCGCTTCCAGGATTTTTCAACGTTCTTTCAATTTATTCCATCGTTATTAGCTCTACCTTTCTGTTAGGTGCTTTAATATTTTGGTAACAAAAAAAAGTTGCAGGATACAGAGGCTTTACAACAGCTGAATTAGACAGGTTGAAAAATTCTGAATCGGTACTGAATGGGTCCGAGTTTCTGTCTGACTTCCTCTCGTGATTTATTGGTTGTATGCAGGTCTAATATAACTTTAACAGTGCGTCGATAGGCACAAAAAAAGGGCTGTTTATATGGGATAGTTAATCTCAGGCGCGGCTGGGTATACTACATTTATCACTGGGCCTTTATAAGCTGACCTCAGCATAGGAAGAGTAGCTTTGAAAAATCAACAAAAATACGTGTCATTACTAGGATCATTTATCACGTGTCATTTGACACAGACTATATTAGCATGTGTCATATCACTGAATATATGATTGTTTATGTATCCTCCGACTCAGGCTGGACCATGATTTAATTTGTTTAAATTTTGAACATTTAAGACAACTTGCATACATCAAGTGGCTACTTAATTTTACAGATAGGGGTATTTAGTGCCATTTGTCTTAGAATGGATTATTATGATAGACTATTTAGACTTGTGGCGATTGTTTATGGGTGCCATTTAGCATAGGCAGGTCTGAATGGCTGCCAAAGTGCCATCCATCACAACTTGTTTACAGTGTGGCCATCTTGTGCAACAAAATGCAGCTGGCTGCTAGGAGTGGCCTTGGGTGGGATGACTCTGGGGGGTGTTGAGGAGCAGTGGAAATGCACGTAGCCGTCTAGTAGCACAGGCTGGGATCATTCCACTTGTGCGAGGGTTGGTGGCGGGAGCTGGGTGGTGCCCATAGCATCAGGGGTCAGCAGCTGGGGTGCCCATAACATTAGATTCAGCAGCTGGGGGTGCCCATAGCATCAGGTTCAGCAGCTGGGGGTGCCCATAGCATCAGGGTCAGCAATTGGGGTGCCCATAACATTAGATTCAGCAGCTGGGGTGCCCATAGCATTAGATTCAGCAGCTGGGGTGCCCATAGAATTAGGTTCAGCAACTGGGGTGCCCATAGTATCAGGAGTTGGAGTGGCCATAGCATTTATTCTGCAGAGAAGAGGCTTTAAAAAGAGTGTGGAGGGGGGAATGTCTTTTGCGCAAGGGGAGGGGGGGGGAGGGGTTACATAAGCACAACAATTGCCACTAAGCTTGAATTAAAGCTGAATTGTTGCGTGACGTGGAGATAGGATGGGATAACTGGGCCATCCAGATTAGGCTGCTGGGATGGCCGTAGATCAAGCAGGCTTCCCGTCCCTGATCACGGGCAACTGGAGCAGTGATAGGGGGGGGGGGGGGAAATGTGCGACACTCAGGGAGAATAACAGGCCATGAAGCGATGCCAGGAGACACAAACTGTATCCTCTTCGTCGTGTTGAGGGGACTCGGCGGTCGACGCTGCTTGCCCCGCACTCACCTATCCACCTGACTGGGGTTTGGTCTTCGGCGCCTACCCGCTCGCCCTCTTCCGGGCCCCGGAGAGAAGGGGTTTTCAGGCAGAGAAGATGAGGAGTCACACACTTCACCTATTCTACAGTCGTCGTCCGGCCTGTAAAACCCTTGAGTCAGTAGTTACTCCTAATTCACTTCACCTCCTTCCCCCCCAAAAAAAAACTACCACTTACGGGGCTATTCATGCCCGTGCCACCTCTTGGGTGGCTTAATTTTCATCAATCAGTGAGGTACTCCTAACGAGATTGTCATTGGTACTTGATAAAGGCTGACACACACACACCGTAAGGGCCACCACTTACGGGCTATTCATGCCCGTGCCACCTTTTGGGTGGCTTAATCTTCATCAATCAATCAATCACCGTCAACACCCCACAGCAACACACTCTGGTCACTCCCAGCCCTCGGGGATGTGTGTTAAGAGAGTAAGAACCCAGTTTTGTAAATCACATTCTGACTAATAATCTTTATAAAAAATTGAATTCTCTACAAACAATTGCTGGCATAGTATATAGTCAACATCGTTACAGTCAAATAACTTGTTGGGGTCTAATAACATTGTACGATTGAGGTTACAGCATCAGATATTGAGCTCTATGGGGGGGGGGTTCTGGCAATGAGACTGATAGTTGTGTTGCATCACAATAATTTAACTCTAAACACCATCTCCGTCACTTAGAACGCTAGATCTGCTGATGCACTTCACTTTTCACTTCTAGCTCTGTACACGTAATTCGACGACTAAGTTTCTCTAATCTTAGAGTATGATGTTATTGCAGAGGACCAATTGTTACAGAAATATCCCTAAAATCATGGTTAGTGATCGCTGAGAACAGAACGAGAACATTTACATAACTCGTTAGAGAACTGATGATTCCCCTTAAACCTTCCCAGCGCCCCCAGGTGGCCACCACGCCACAGTGGCCTTGTCCGCACCTAAATGCACCGAAGTGGAATTCCCGTTACTTACTTGGCCTCCCTCTTAAAGCGGCCGGAGTCCTCGGGATCGTAAGGAGCGTCACGCTGGAACAGTAGCTCCGGGGGTAGAAGTGGCAGCTCCCCAGGTGGGCCAGGGGGACCTGGTGGTCCCGAAGGACCAGTCTCGCCCTTCGGTCCTGAGGAACCTGGTACACCCTTTGGACCAGGAGGACCAACAAGTCCAGGCAGACCGTGAGGACCATCGTTGCCTTTGTTTCCTAAAAGGCCAAGTGGACCCTGGATGTATGAGAACAAGTTCGAAAGATTAGTTTGATAAACTTTCCTAACTGCGCATTGCATTGTGTCATATCTCAAAGTGCCTGCTAAGGAAGTCATTACTATTAGACCGGTTGTACCTTGCGTTATCTGCATGACCTCTATGCCTTGAGGAATCGGCTGAAGAATCATGCAACAAAGTGTCTATTAGATTAGTTTTATTTCAGATCATTCGTGAACCAATCATCCCTGAAAGTGCCTGCTTAATCACTCATGCCTCGCCGTGTCCTCTAGATCACTCATGCCTCGAGATGCCTCCTGCTGTATCAGGCCTTCCTCTAGATGTCTGCTAGTCAAACATGCCTTCAGGCGCCTCCTAGTTTAGTTGTGCCTCGATTCCTAGTAGATCAGTCATGCCTTGGATTACCTGCTACATCTGTTATTCCTTGAGGTACGTACTCTAGATCTGTCATACCATGAGATGTTTGCTAGATTAGTCATATCCTGAGGTACTTAAAGAATAAGTCATACCCTGAAGCATCTGTTCAATAAGTCACACCCTGTGGTACTTGGTAGATTAGCCCATACCCTGTGGTACTTGGTAGATAAGCTCATACCTTGTGGTACTTGGTAGATAAGCCCCATACCCTGTGGTACTTGGTAGATAAGCCCATACCCTGTGGTACTTGGTAGATAAGCTCATACCTTGTGGTACTTGGTAGATAAGTCCCATACCCTGTGGTACTTGGTAGATAAGCCCATACCCTGTGGTACTTGGTAGATTAGCCCATACCCTGTGGTACTTGGTAGATAAGCCCATACCCTGTGGTACTTGGTAGATAAGCCCATACCCTGTGGTACTTGGTAGATAAGCCCATACCCTGAGGTGCCCGATGGAAATACCATACCATGAGGTACTTGCTAGAAGAGTCATAATCTGAGATGCCTGCTGGAAAGGCCATATCCTGAGGTAACTTCAGCATCAAGCATTCCTCAAAGTACTCTTTAGAACAGTCACACTAGACAGTCAACACGACTAATACTGAACATTGCCTACGGGAAACATAGACTCTCTTTCTTGTCAAGAATATTGTTGCAGGAAATAATATTACATTAAAATCAATCACAACCGTTTTTACTGCCTTAAAAAAAATTGTGTAAGGGAAATGGATACATACGGGCTCGCCCTTGATGCCAATTGGTCCCTGAGGGCCCTTCATGCCAGGCTCTCCCTTCTCACCCATCTCTCCCTTTGCCCCTGACATTCCCATTTCCCCTCGATGTCCTTTCGGTCCTCTTCGTCCTCTTCGGCCCTTCTGACCCTTCTGACCAGAATTTCCAGGAAGACCAATTTGGCCAACCTTGCCTTCCTTGCCCGGCACTCCAACATCGCCCTGAAACACAGAGAGACATTAAATTGATTGTTATTTGTCTGTTTTCGGTAACAGAAAGCTAGTTAGGTTAATTGAGATTCCGCTAGGTAAACTTCTTAACTTCCTATGGATCTAACCCCCACAACATTTCTTAATTCCCAGGTACTTATTTGCAGCTAGGTAAATAGGTGCAATAGGTGAAGGGGAACACGCACAAGGGTTTCCGTCATGCCGTGAAAATCAAATCCAGGACCTTTTAGGATTTCGGACCCAACTTCACTGACCACTGTAGCACGGGACCTCTTAGTAATATTTATTCCGGGTTACATTTGTGTAGCAGCTTCAGTACCAAAATAATTGTTAGTATCACATATACTAACAATGTTTGATCCTCTGTAACTTTTAGCTCTGATCACATAATGTAATGGAAATTAATACGTTCAGAAACGTACACATAAAATATGGAATGTACACTTACGGCAGGTCCCGGTGATCCGCGAAGACCAGGTAAACCTTGAGGCCCAGGTAATCCTTGCGAGCCTGTTGGTCCAATGGGTCCATTTGGTCCAGTCAAGCCTCGATCGCCTTTCTCGCCTGGCATTCCCGATGGGCCTTGCTGGCCCGCTGGACCTTCGGGACCCTGGAGGACACAACTCGTTATTATCACCCCATATCAAGTCTTCTTTATTGAAACATGTTGCGAAAGATTGCAGCGTTAGTAATGAAGTATATCGATATAAATAATATATTTATATGTAAAAGTCATTCCGTAAGATGGCCAACTCAGAAACTCAAGACACTGAGGAATCCCAGGCACTGCTTCGTAAAATTCTGAGTGACTGATTGACTTATGTGATGACTTACAGGCTTTCCACTGGCTCCTGGGAGTCCCATTTGGCCAGGTGAGCCTGGTTCACCAGGAGCGCCCGCCTCTCCTTCTTTTCCATCTTCTCCGTCCTTTCCTGGAACCCCCTTTGGTCCTTGCTTGCCAGGTTCCCCGTGTGGTCCAGGGAAGCCAGGTGGTCCAGCATTTCCCTTTGGTCCGGCTGGTCCAATTGGGCCGCGTATTCCGGGTGAGCCCTGTGGTCCAGGCTTTCCTTCCTCTCCTTTTGGTCCATTTGGGCCTATTTTGCCCTGGAATATAAAATATCAAAGTTATGAAATTCCAGAATCCATCCTCTCACAAGCACTTAACCTCGAGGTAACTGTATACAGAATATAGTCAAAGTATTCTGACAATATTATGAACTAGTGCACATCACAAAGAAGTGTTCGCAAAGAAGGTCCTCAGATGGTCACTCAGCGCTCAGTACTCACATGCTCTCCATCCTTGCCCGGTGGGCCAGGGGTTCCTTGTTGGCCGGGTTCTCCTTTCTCGCCCTGAAGTCCGTCTGGTCCGGTGGGTCCGGGTAAACCGGGTGAACCTTTGCTGCCTGGTTGACCGGCTTCTCCGGAGGGACCCAGGGCTCCAGGGAGACCGCGCTTGCCTATGTCACCCTTTTCACCCTTTGGCCCTGATGCGCCTGGCATGCCTTGTACTCCTGCAGGGCCAGCAGGTCCGGGCAGACCCTGAGGCCCATCCTCGCCTTTCCTACCAGTTCGACCCATTCTTCCTGGAGCGCCACGCTCGCCTGGAGCACCAGGGGCTCCTGGGGCGCCTCGGAGACCCTGTGGCCCTGCTGGACCTGGGGGACCCTAATGAAAGAAAGATCCTTTTGTTATATACGACAGTAATTATTTTTTATTCCTCGCCACAACTCAAAGTTTCTGAATTATGGAGCTCATTTGAGAACTATCCAAGACCATAATGAGTATGTATATTCCCTAATCTAACTTTGACGACATTTTACGCGAATAAAATATTTCCAAATAAAAATCATTTGCTCTTTTTGTATTAAAATAAAGTGGGTGGGAAGCTGTGTTCAAGTACGGTGATTTCAGTGTCCCGTTCATACAGTGTTTGATATTGCAATCTCCTGAAACACACTGATATGATCCTAATTAATTAACATTCAGGAATAAAAATATTGCATTTTGCACTCAGCTGACCCACGTGTTAAAATACATATATATATATAGTAAATATAAGTAATAATGACAACATAATATTAAATAATAATAATAATAGTATTATTACTGATTTAATTATAAGTATTATAATTCAATGTCTTCTGAGACTGAAGGATGCTTACTAATAATAATTAAAGTGACGGTACTAGTGATAGTGGCGGAGACTGCCAGGTCTCATGTACAAGACGAGACGGACAGTGTACCATACCTGAAGGCCCTTGCCGCCCTTGAAGCCCTTCTCGCCAGGTGATCCGGCCTCGCCCTTGTCGCCATCCTCGCCAGGCTCTCCCACAGGTCCAGGGGCACCGGGTAATCCTGCACACCCACGGGGTAAACAAACACCCATTAATATCAAACAATCTTAAAGCAACACACACACACACACACGCGCGCGCGCGCACTCACCGACAGCATTAACAAGAAAAATGGCATTTATTGAAAGTAAACAAACAAAATAACATCCATTCATAGCACAGAGCAAACAGAACTCCGTCATCAAAAAAAGTAAACATAAATATTTAATACCATAAATCAGGCAAACAACTTCTTGATACCCTAGATACCATAAAGTAAAAATACGGTATTCACACTTATCAACAGTTAAGAACACTCCCAGTTTAAAAGATGTAAACATCACTCTTTGACAATTTACAAGATGTAAACAGCATTCATTCACAATCTACAAGATGTACACAACCATCACTAACAGTTTACAAGATATAAACAACACTTACACCTTTACAAGATGTAAAGTGTATTTGACAGTTTACAAAAATATGATATAAAAGCACTCACTGACAGTTTACAATATGTAAACTAAGTTATACAGTTTTCTGTCACAGTGTTAGCACAGTACAATACAAGTGTTCCGTCATAGGATAGCACAGTAGAACACAAGTGTAAGTGTTCTTACAAGCTTGTTATCCACTTGTAACACAAGTGGATAACACAAGTGGATAGCAGAGCTGCCTTACCTCGTGGCCCCAAGAGTCCGTCTCTCCCGGTGGGTCCGGGCACTCCTGGGTCTCCCTGAGGAAGTATATATCTTGCAAATTATGTTGATTTAAACCTGGAACTTAAGCTTTGCAACACAGCTACACATTTGGGTTATATTTAACTGTGTTTAAAAGCGATTTCAAAAGCATTAAAGAAGTGTATTCTGTACTTGCAGTAGTCTGATATTCATAAATCTTAGTCTTGCTTTTAATCCCAATTAATTTAAGCAAATCCAATACACCATTTATATAGACTTGTTTTAAATAGTAGTATATTATAGCTGTACTTGTACTTGCGATGCTGACATTGCAGTCTCGCCACAGTGAGCAAAGATACTGTATTTATATAATGTTATGTTGTATAAAATTCAGCTATATTAACATTGTTTCGCAATCATTGAGGTTAAATTTGAAAATAACTCCATTTTGCTTCACCGCACTTAAAATCAACATTTATGCCTGAAAATGCAGTGAACCATGGCTGCCTACCCGTTCTCCCTTCGCTCCTGATGATCCGCGAGAACCTGGGGGTCCATCCTTGCCTGTGGGGCCTTGTGGACCTGCATTTCCAGCAAGCCCTGTGGCGCCTTTGTCTCCTGGGGCGCCGGCGGGGCCTGGGGGACCCATCTCACCCTTGAGACCTGTGGCACCCTGGAATATGTGGGGGGTTGAAGGTAAGAGATCATCATCAGTTCAGTGTGTGTTGTACGTTAGATATATTTGCAAATAATTCATAGCTGGGATGCTCATGAGAGAAGTTGTTTTGGTTAATTGTATAACACGTTGCTTCGGTCTACTTACGGGAATGCCGGAAAGACCGCGTTCTCCGGGGAAGCCTGGTAGACCTGGAGGTCCGACTGGCCCTTCCTTGCCTGGGGATCCCATGGGTCCTGGTGGCCCTTCCTTTCCAGCTTCACCTGGTCTGCCTTCCTCTCCTGGCACACCGGGGGAACCAGGGGGCCCTGGCTCTCCTGTAGGACCAGGTTCTCCGGCTGCACCCACAGGGCCCACTACGCCAGGTGGACCTACAGGCCCTTGATTACCGGGCTCGCCCTACACAGAGTTCAGACAATTTAGAAAACAAATTATATGTAATGTGTATTTATACACATACATAAATATGATATAATTCATATGATGACAGTCAGTACTAACATTAAGTCCCAATGAGGCCTCTCAATGCTAGGACTTACTGGTGGGCCTCGTTCTCCAGGAGGTCCTGCAATGCCATCTTTCCCATCGATTCCTGGAGGACCTAAAGCTCCCGCAAAACCTGGAGGTCCCTCAGGACCTTGGGCTCCTTGATCACCATTAGGTCCCGGTGGTCCCGGCTGGCCAGTGTCACCCTTGGGTCCAGAAAGGCCTGTCTTTCCTCTTCGTCCTCGAGCTCCACGGAATCCCTGGGAAAGCAAAAACCTCCGTTCAGCACAAGATTAGAATCGATGCAGTTTTTTTATGAGATTATCTCAAACACAAGAAAATTTGTAAATGGAATTCTAGCCCGTCGTTGCTCACCCTGGGTCCTTGCTCGCCGCGCTCGCCTGGCATCCCTGAGTTACCCCGCTCGCCTTTGTCTCCAGGTCGTCCCAGCAGGCCAGGAGAACCTTTGTCGCCTTTGTCCCCAGGTGGTCCCGGGTACCCAGGGAAGCCGGGTACTCCAAGTTTGCCTTTCTCTCCGTGGGATCCTGGTGGTCCTGCCTCTCCGCGAGGGCCTTCAAATCCCTGACAAGAAGGAGAACAACAGTGTTTAAAGAAGTGCTTTGTGGTAGGGCAATAAGTAGAAGTATATAATGTGTTGATTAAAAAGTGCAGCAAAATATATCATAACTCTGGAACTTTAAACTTTTTCTTTCGTACTCGTACTCGGAAACCTTTACCAGCATTTCTCAATGGGTTTCGGTGCAGCAAGATAGGACTTATCCTCACTAAGGATAAGGATCACTCACTAATCGGGAGGCGGGGAACCATTGGCAATCCGCCGGCTTCCTGTTCCCGTTGAGACCATTAGAGATGGTGGCTTTCAGGTAAACAAAGAATCAATAAGACAATGATATTACCTTTGGACCCTCAGGTCCTTCGAGACCGATTTGTCCTTCGGGGCCGACCTCTCCACGCTCTCCCTTCAAGCCCATGTCACCCTTGGGTCCATCAGGTCCATGTTCACCTTTGTGGCCTTTCTCGCCCTGAAGGCCCCTGTTGCCCTGGTCGCCCTTGACTCCACGGGGGCCCGGGAACCCAATTGTACCCTAAACAGAAAGATACATTTAGAGTCGTATAAAAACAGACATAATAGAAGAGCAGTAATACCTGTACTCTAATAGTTGGATTGTAATTACAGTACGTCACAGGGATACTCAAACGTCTGCGTGAGTTGTCATTCGTGTGAGGTCATGCACATACAGACAATCTGGCAGACTAATTCTAACCTGATCGGTAAAGCGACGGTTTCGCTTCTTGCAAGTCGACGTTCAATCCCCGACCGTCCAAGTGGTTGGGCACCCTTCCTTGCCTTCCTTCTATCCCGGATCCTTATCCTCATCCCTTCCAAGTGTTATAGTCGTAATGGCTTAGCACTTTCTCCTAATAAATACCTTACATTTGAGTGGTATGTGCATAGGTGTTACCAGAAGGAGTAATTGAGAGAAATATCATATACTGGTTTAAACAACAGCGTCATATGACATCACACAAGCCACATGCTGTGCGTCACATGAGATCACACAAGACAAGAGGTGTTGTCTGTCGCTTGAGATCACAGCGTAAGATCACTGGAAGGTGCTATTCCAATATGACTAAATAGCACTTGGAAGCAATATGAGGACGAAGGGCTGGGATACGAGGACGGCGTGAAGGAACAGTGCACAGTCACTTGGACTATCGGGAGTCGAACACCGCCCTGCGAGAAACAAGGCCGTCGTTGTACTGAAGAATCTAAGGAGGATGGACTTGAGATGAAACAAGAAATAGGTTGTAAACATTACCTGAGGTCCAATAGGGCCCTTGTCTCCCTTGGAACCGATGGACCCGGGGTTGCCGGAGTGTCCAGGCAAGCCATCAGCCCCAATTAAGCCAGGTAAGCCAGGCTTACCCCGGGGACCCTGCAAGAATTTAACGTCACCAAACCGTTGAATTACTCAAATATTCAAGCAATAACAACTAAGAATACTGTATGTATATATTGCAGATGAAATTGGCAAAAAATTAATAATATAGGCTGAAATAAGGTACAAATAAGAAAAGCTTTTTCACTGTTCTCTATTACGGTAATATGAATCAATCATTTTCCAAATAATGGATGACAAACTGCCTGCCAAGAATGACAACAAAGAAACTACTCACAGAAGGACCTGGAGGACCAAGGAGGCCTTGGGGTCCTGGTGGACCAATAGGTCCGTTGGGACCAGATTGACCAGGGGGCCCAGGTTGGCCAGGCGGACCAGCGTCTCCTTCGGGCCCAGTGACACCCTCGCTGCCGGGGATGCCAGGGGGCCCTGGCAGGCCAGGAAACCCTCGGGGCCCAATGAATCCTCGAGGACCCTAAAGAGAAAGAGGTGGGAGTGAAAGATTTTCATCAGCGGCGAGTGTACCTAAAATAAGAGAAAAAATTCATGGAAGATTACATTCTTAAATAATCGGCATGCCAAATTGGTCGTTTTTCTATTTTCAGGGCAACTAAAAAAATTTCAGGGCAACTGTAGATCTACGATTATATTGATTTGTATTGCACTTGCGAGCACTGGCTAAGGGAGTTTGTTCTTTTGGGTAATTATACGAACTTTGATCTAGTGAGAACAATATTTCACTTTCCAGCTATTATTTTATTGCGAATTGCATGATCTTGGTCCATTGTCTTCTTTGGGTGGGCACGGGGAGGGGAAGGGGAAATGATGAGGTGTGACCCATTTAATACGAAAAACCTATTATTTGGGCCTAAACAGACCATTAATGAGGATAGGGTCAATGAGGATGATCTCCTAGGGCGGGACTTGACCTGTGAACAACGAAAGACATTAAGGAAACTCTTTACCTTGTAAGGAGACTTACCATCTCTCCCGGGAGACCAGCCACACCTGGAGACCCTGGTTCACCTGGCATGCCGTCGTGACCTGGCAGCCCAGCCTCCCCGGGGGTCCCAACGACGCCTCGATGACCTTTCTCGCCCGGCACGCCTGAAGAAGTCACGCGAGGTCAAAACAAGGTCATTATTGATGATAGAGGTGCAGAAGTTGTCAGAAACACATTGGATATTAGGCCAACATTTGAGACATAAACATTTCACTTAAGTAAGGCTGAGTGACACTTGTTGGGGCCCGCCTGAGGCTTAGAACCCACGCGGGAATATCCCCTGAATGTATATATATATATATATATATATATATATATATATATATATATATATATATATATATATATATATATATATATATGCGAACAAGCCTGAATGGTCCCCAGGACAATATGCAACTGAATATATATATATATATATATATATATATTCAAAGAACCAAAGAGTGTTACCACCATGACCCGGTGACTGACCTGGTAGACCACGGAGTCCGGGGTCACCCTTAGTCCCCGGTATACCGGAAAGGCCTCGCTCGCCGTCTCGACCTGGTCTTCCTCGTCGACCTCTTTGACCTAATCGACCTAGTTGCCCTCTCATACCTCGCGGGCCCTGGGGAGAGTGCATGGGAAAGGTGAGAAAGGTGGGAAGTGAGGAGGAGGTAAGTAGGTAGGTAGAAGGGAGATGAGAGAACGAGGATAAAGGAATCATTGTATTAGACGACAAACACACACACATCACTTACCGGTTCTCCCATGTCTCCTGGTTCACCCTTGAGGCCGGTCTCTCCCTGGGGTCCCTCAGGTCCAGGGAGACCAGTAAGACCCCTAGGTCCAGAAACACCTTGCATCGCCATCATGTGTTGAGACAGCTGCTGCTGGAACTGCTCCAGCATCTGGTCGGGTCCCTTCTCGTTGCCTTGGAGATTGAGCTGCAAGGTACGCCAAGATGCAAACAATTAATTGATTGATGAAGATTTTAAGCCACTCATTATTGATATTGGGTTACATTTTACCATTCTTTGTTGCACGTTTTTTAAGAGAATTTAAACACAAAGTCTATAAATTGTCTATTGGAGACATATCTGATCCTAAATTAACAAAAAATGCAACTGTTTGGCCTTAGCAAAAACATACGAACCCAAGCAACCCACCTAACCTATCGAGGCCAATGCATAGAAAAAGTCCATATTTTAGTGTTTTAACTTATACTAGTACGTCGCATTATAAACGGATTAGTCGATTCCGTAAAAATTACGACGTAATAGATGCAAACAAAAACGGGCTGAAAAGTGTTGCCCTTCCTCACCGGAATCATGAAGACGTGGCCTGGTGGTCCGGTTATGCCGTCTGTGCCAGGAAGACCACTCCTTCCGGGATCACCCTTGGGTCCTGGAGGACCCTGGGGACCCGGGGGTCCCGGGTAGCCTCGCAGAACTCCTGAGGGTAGATAGCTGACAGCGGCGGCGCCGTCATAGTCCTGGAAAACAGGAAGAAAGTGCTCTCGTATTACAATAAATAAATAACGACCTTTTGTGCCCTCTATAATCTTTTTTGCGCTACCGCTCACAGGATGAGTATGGGGTGCACAATAAACTATCAAAATCGTATTACTATGATTTCAACCATCAACAATTAAGTATCTGTGTCCGACAATCCACGACTTTCACGTCAGTAGATATCACTCTGAGATGCATTGCCGCTTTTCACAGGTACTCACAGGTCCGGTATAGTTATCCGCGTGATAGGACTCCGTGGTGTAGACGACGTCGTTGGGCTCGGTGGCGTAGACCGTCTCGTCGTCCTTACCGTCCACGTACTCTAGGTGCGTGGAGCCCAGGAAGTGCGTGTCGTGGAGGTCTTGGTCGCAGTCCGGCATGTAGGTCTTGCAGTGGTCGTATGCTGCTTCAGGACCCGGCACGATGTCCAGTTGCTGAATGTCGCCCTAGAAATCAGAGCAAGAGGAGAGGCGTGGTCAGGGACTAGAGGGGAGAGGAGATGTGGTGATTGGCCCAGAGAGAGAGAGAGAAAGAGAGAGAGAGAGAGAGAGAGAGAGAGACAGAGGGAGAGAGAGAGAGAGAAAGAGAGAGAGAGAGAGAGAGAGAGAGAGAGAGAGAGAGAGAGAGAGAGAGAGAGAGAGAGAGAGAGAGAGAGAGAGAGAGAGAGAGAGACAGAGAGAGAGAGAGAGAGAGAGAGAGAGAGAGAGAGAGAGAGAGAGAGAGAGAGAGAGAGAGAGAGAGAGAGAGAATGTGGTAACTTAAGGAAATCTAAGATTACCGCATTCTCTCTCCCCGGAACACCCTCCAACGCACCTGGATCTGCCTCCAACGCACCTGGATCTCCCTCCAACGCACCTGGAACTCCCTCCAACGCACCTGGAACCCCTCCAACACACCTGGAACCCCTCCAACACACCTGGAACCCCTCCAACACACCTGGAACCCCTCCAACACACCTAGAACTCCCTCCAACACACCTGGAACCCCTCCAACACACCTAGAACTCCCTCCAACACACCTGGAACCCCTCCAACACACCTAGAACTCCCTCCAACACACCCGGACAATATATGTTCCCAGTTCCTAGGCACTGCCAGGGAGGAAACAGAGAGATGAAGGCATAAGAGTCAAGGATCTTGCCAGAGATAAATCTGAAATTAGCGAGGTGACACAAGCCTCCAGATATTTACTTTTGACCAGAAAGGAGGACGCCAGCACCGTTCTTAAGCCCATATTTAGTTTGCAATTAATATAAAAACGTCAGGTTCAGAACCCGGTTATATCAAACGCTAACCAGTGACGATGTTTACCATTATTTTAACCAAATTTAATTGTGACTCAGGCTGATCAATTTAATTCAACTTCATCAGTGAAATGAACAATATCAAACACCAAACGTCTTATTCATGAAAAGTCTAAAAATTAACCATTATGATGTATCGTGTTATCTGAAGAGAAAAGTTGTTAGTGTTATAACCTAGACTAAAAGAAAGTCTGAAGGTCAGTTATAACTGTAGTTCAGAATAAGGACAACTGGAAGGGTCTCACTAAGGAAGCAAGTAACACATCTTGAATCAAGGGTGTTCAACAAGGAAACACTATCAAGTGTTTTCTTGACTCAAGGAAACACTCTCAAGAGTAGTCCAGTCTCAAGAAAACACTCTCAAGGATAGTCTAGTCTCAAGGAAACACTATCAAGGATAGTCCAGTCTCAAGGAAACACTCTCAAGAGTAGTCCAGTCTCAAGGAAACACTATCAAGGATAGTCCAGTCTCAAGGAAACACTATCAAGGATAGTCCAGTCTCAAGGAACCACTCCCAAAAATGGACCAGTCTCAAGAAATTGGGTTAAATTTCCAAGACCTCCTTCAGCCCCTCCCTCAGGAATCAAGCCGAAGAACACACCCGGCGAGAAACAATGGGCAGAGTTTCTTTCACCCTATGCCCCTGTTACCTAGCAGTAAAATAGGTACCTGGGTGTTAGTCAGCTGTCACCGGCTGCTTCCTGGGGGTGGAGGCCTGGTCAAGGACCGGGCCGCGGGGACACTAAAGCCCCGAAATCATCTCAAGATAACACACAGAAAGAGGACTGCGAGACGAACTACTCACAGCGAAGTACTTCTCCTCGAGGAGTTGTTGGCCGAGGAGGATGATGCCGGCGTTGGAGACATGCGAAGGGGAGTCCCTGGGTAGAATAAGGTTGGTAGAGGTCTCGCAGTCCAACAACAGGGTCACGCTATCCCCCTTCACGCTCAGTCCCAGCCGGTGCCACCTGAAAGAAAATGGACGAAGAACGTGATTTAACCCCCCAAACAATTCCATCCTAAATCTTTATTCTGACTGCTTCCAAGTGCTATATAGTCGTAATTGCTTGGCGTTTTCCTTTGATAATTCCCTCACTCTAGAAGGTTTATTGGCCTATGGGAGGCAGCTCCTAGTCATATCTACCCAGCTTCATGCATGACTATGTCTAGCCTACACTTGAAACAATCCAGGGATCCCCCACAAATGTTAAGTTTATCATGTAATTTGTTTCAGAAATCAACACCTGTATTTCCAAACCGGTATCTACCCAGATTATGTTCTTATCAGTCGGTGTTCCCCTTCAACACAAGAGGCCCAATGCCCTTGTCATAGGAGTTGAACGCATAAGAGAAGAAAAAGCAATACAGTGAAAACGTCCTGGACCCTTAACAAGTCAAGACATGATTAGGGATTCCTCTTGTAATGAATGTTTGTTTAAATCAGTGATTCTCAAAGGGTGGAGAAAGGGGAGCGGGATGATTGGCTCCCCCAGGGAGGTATTTTTAACCAGGGAAAAAATATCAGTCAGGGAAGGAACTCCAAACTGGGAAAAAATATTGTATGAGGGATCCCTGGGATCACAAGGGGAAGTATGTGATCTGGCGTGAAGGGAACGCCATCTAGAGAAATCTGCTGGAAAGGCCAGATTTAACTTAAACCTACAAGTCATTCTGTCTCGAAATTCTATGTTAAGAAAGACATATAGTTAACACAGAAGCAGCTGTTGGTGGAGAGAAAGAAAGACACAGGAGGAGACATCACCTTAGGGAGGGACAGAGGCGAGGGGGGGACGGGACCAAGGGCATATGAGGTTAAGATTAGCAACAATGCTCACAGAAATGACACCACAAAACATGGCAATAAATGCTGGGCAATGCGGCTTGAATAACACCCCCTTACTGCAGGACGGCCGCCATGAATATAGCATCCACACGCGGCAGTAATTAGAAGGTTAAGAGAGGCCAGACACACACAAGTGGCGGCATGCACAGTAAATTGCAGCAGACTTTAAGTCTAGCGGCACACACTCTGTAATGTCTTACAAGGCCAAGATGATCTCAATTGACGAGCCAGAAGCCAACTTGGTCTTCAGACGTCGGAGGGTGGCACCTAGCGTCTTATTTTACACCCTGTGGTCCCCCTCCCCAACGTACAAATTACAAGGTACTATAAAAAGCTTGCCGCTCACAAATGTTTTCTATGCATCTGTAGGTTAGATGAGGTGGGTTGCTTGGGTTTGTACGTTTCTGGTTAGGTTAGGACGTGGTATTTTGTACGTTGTGGAAATTCACGAGAGCGGTGTGGGTGGTGAGGCCGCCTTGTGGTGTCCCATAGCTCCCGCGGCAACCCAGAGTTCTCTTATTAACTTACCACAACGGTCACAAGATGGTGAACCTAACCTAACCTAACCTAACCTAACCTAATCTAATCTAACATAACCTAGCCAAATCTAACCTAACCTAATCTAATCTTATCTAATCTAACCTAATCTATCCTAACCGAACGACCCACACATAGAAAAGTTAATGTTCATGCGCCGCCATGTTATATAGTACATCATATATATTCCATTGGGGAATTTGACAGGAGGCCTGGTCGAGGCCCGGGCCGTGGCCACGCTAAGCCCCGAAAGGTAACCGACAGGACAAGTTATAGTCACCAATGTGTCAGGCGAAGATCTTGTATGAGAGGCCCTTCAAATAAGTGTCTATAGGCGGCTTGTTAACTAAGAGTTCAGCGTCGGCGGCCGGAGTGCTGGGGGTGCCTGAAGGCTTGCAGTGTAAGACGTACCTAACCCCCTTTACCACTGTTTTACCCCCTACATGGGTAAAACATGCTCGATTAACGTTATTTTACTCGATTGACGTCGTTATACTCGATTTACGTCATTTTACTCGATTAACGTCGTTTTACTTGATTAACGTCGTTTTACTCGATTAACGTCGTTTTACTCGATTAACGTCGTTTTAATCGATTAACGTCGTTTTACTCGATTAACATCGTTTTACTCGATTAACGTCGTATTACTCGATTAACGTCGTTTTACTTGATTAACGTCGTTTTACTCGATTATGTCGTTTTACTCGATTAACGTCGTTTTACTCGATTAACGTCGTATTACTCGATTAACGTCATTTTACTCGATTAACGTCGTTTTACTCGATTAACGTCGTTTTACTCGATTAACGTCGTTTTACTCGATTAACGTCGTTTTACTCGATTAACGTCGTTTT